CCCCCCGACTGATCCCAGCATGACCAGCTCCACTGTAGTGGGCGCCACCCTGCCTGGAGAGTTTCTAGTACGCCTTCGGAGGCAGTCAGGCGGCTTGGGTTTCAAGCTTTTGGGTGGAGCTGAGGAGGGAACTCCGGTAGGTGGCCTTTTTAATACAATTCATTCTCACAATCTTTTTGTGTTCTGCCTGGATACTGTGGGTTTGATCGCTCATTAGGCCGTAAGGCTTGTCCACAGATGGGCTTGCTACTGTGTCTCTTGTTTCATTCTCGCATATTTTAAGACGATGGCTGATTACGGTTTTTGGTTAGCCCCCTGATTCTGCCGTTCAGACAATGATTGGGATTTCTTATATGTTCCCCCCTGACAGGACATGCGAACAGGCACCGAAGGCAGTATAGGAGACTTTGCGCTAAATTCCAGTGAAATTAGGGTCAGGCTTGGAGTGAAAATTAGGGGTATGATTAAGATTTGGGAATATTTAACCTTCTTTAAATTTAATGCTAGAACATCAGTCTCACATGGAAGAGAGAACGTCCCTTTTCACATATCCTGCCGAGAGATGGGAGGATATAAGCAGTCCCGACCCGGACGGTTTCATGCAGCCACCGGATTACAGGCAAAACTTTTGCTGCCACTACCATAGTTTCGTGGTTTGAATACTCTTATATAATCGCTTTTAAAGAAGTTACAGGTTTGAGTAAAGATTACGTTTATAGTCCCTTAAACAGAATACGCGACTAGGAACTTCCTCCCCCAAGTTATAAATGTAGTCTTGCGCGTAAGTTCAGGAAGGTTAAGTAGTACAGTGTCCTAACCCTAACACTATATTTGGCATCAACACTAAACTTAACCTTGACGCGAACCCTGATTTCCCAGGGATTTTGCGCAAATCCACCTGTAGTGTTTTCTCATTTACTTTAAGGGGGCCATAAAAGTAATCCTTCCCCAGGTTTGTACTAGTTATGAACACAAATGGCAGAAAAGACGTTCATTCGGACGACTTTCGGTCTTCAAAGGCTTTGTAAACTCTGATTTTGTTTTTGAGGTCTTGCACATCGGAGGATTCTTATCAGCTTTGTACACAGACAACCGGCATGCAAGATGCAATCTTGTATGTTATCTCTATCAGCTAAATTTCTTTTCACCGGAGCGTTCTGTTTGCAATTTTTGTTTGAATTGTCCTGTCCCCCCTTTCCTGTCTGGTTACCATGGTCTAGGCCTTTCAAACAATGTTGCTTCCAATTTTTTAAATTTTTATTTAACTTCCTGACCCAATCGCAAGTAGAACAAAAGGCTAATCTATCATAGGATTTAGACGCAACCCTAGGCGTTGAATTTAGCAATGGGGCCGACCCTTTTTATGTAGTTTCTGCTTCACTTAGCTGCTTCTTTTTGTGCGTATTCGGGCTCGCGCAGGTGACCTCCTCGACACGGTTTGTCGACCGTTGGATTAAACTTTAGCGTTCACTTAATTTTCTTGATATAATCGAGGGGGGATGGAATTTTTCATTTGACTCAGTTTTGAAAAAATTGGTGGCCTCAGTGGGATTCGAACGTACGCCGGCAAGGTTAAATACAGTCAGCACTCCGCCAACTGAACTAAGAGGTCCCACCGAGAGCCGTGATCGTTATCACACTTGAGTCAAGTTATCCAACTAGCCTACCAACAAGACCGTTGAAGTTTCCACAAATGGGTAAATTTTATTATTTAAACCTACCATACTACCTACCAATAAAATTGTTGTTGGTTATATTTAACCAAATAGGCCATGCTTATGGAAGCAATGCATATCTAGCTTTACGGATATTATCGGTTGGCTGCCTGGCTGACATATGGAAGAGGGAGAGAGAGAGGCTGGTATTGAGAATCCAGCCCCACGGGAAGTCAGCATATTCTCTAATAAAATGGATACACCGCGCTTGGATCTGTGATGAGCCCGTTACGGTAGTTGCTTGGAAGGTTGCCCACTGACAGGATAGCTCTATTTTTATAGTGTCCGAGAGCCAGGCTGTAGTGACCCATTAATTTGGCCCGCTTGGCACTCCTTAAATGAGGTTTGAAGCGTCTTTGTTAGCACGGACTGGATCGTGCGTTCGGCACGTGTGAACGGGCCGTTTAGCCTTAACATTCACCGTATCGATCCCCTTCGTCATCAGTAGTCTTAACATGGTTTTGTCATCGGTGTAGGATGTGGCGAAAAGCGACCGTATATTAGATTCTCCGTAAGTCTATCTACCTCAAAAACGAACTAAGTCGCAGGTTACTGGTGCTGTCGGCCTTCACAGCAAGACACTGGCTTCTATCTTCTGTACCAAGTGTGAGGTGTTCTATGTCGATCACCACATTGCCTGCCCAATCGCTCCCCTCTCTCCCTTTCGTATATCCTGACGCAGTAATTCAAAGATACCATTTGCGTTCTTCATCTATCGGGCTCCACTGTAACGTTTATTGCACCAATCTTAACCTTGTTCGCATTATCGATATAGGCAGCTGTGATATTTTTTGTACAAAGCATGCTGTTATCAACTCTACTCTCTGCTTCCCCTCCTCCAACTTCGTCACATAATTAAGTCCTGAACTGCAGTCAGAAGTCTCGTCCTCACTACACGGCAAGTAATCTGCTTCATAACTCTTAAAGTTCCTAGCATGTTGTGTAGTGGATGTTATCTACATATTTTAGCTCTCTATCGGTCCACTGGTTCCTGGCGGTGTTGCGGAGAAGTCGGGGATGATCCAAACTGGCGACCATCTGGTCTCCGTCAACGGTGAGCGCGTTGTTGGTGCTCGTCATCGTTGGGTGGTACAGTTGCTGGAGCAGAATGCTGCCTGCACGCACTCCGAAGTAGTTCTTGGTCTCTGGAGACCAACGGAGACTGCACAAAAGGTTTGTCACTTCTCCTTCCCGTCCCATTATTCTTGATTGCACTAATTAGTTTTAAGCCTGAACGGAAACAAAAACTCTGGTAACATTTCAACGCGCCTCAAGAGGGCATTCAGTAGATGACGTAGTACATAAGATATTAACTGAAATCTTCTCCTAAGTGGGAAGCGTGCGATTTGGAAACCATGCATGCTATTAGAACAGCAAGTCCTATCTAACAATTATCTGAGCATGGAAGATTAAAAGCTTGAAAAAATATCTCTGCCCTATGACATCTAGTAATTTGTCTCTTGATGACAGTCTCCTAGAAGGAGCATTGCTTGGTTTTCGAGAGTGCATTCATTCTTCAGATGCTACATAGAGTGTTCTCGGTTTCTGTATACCAACAACAATATTCTGTCGCTCTTCCTTCTTCTCTCCCCACCCCATTATTTTTGATTACACTAATTCTCAGCCTGTAGTGCGGGGACGCAAGAACGGAAACAAAAGGTCTGCTTAAACTAGAGTGCTGCTCAAGTGGACGTCCAGTATACGACGTAACTCATAAGATATTCACTGAATTCCTGAAATGAGTTTTTTGAAAGGAAGACATAACGTAGGTAGGGACTGTCATTTCCAGTCACGTGGAGACGCTGGCTTTTTACTGTACGACCATTTGCAAAGGTCACGCTCACTTGAAGTGCATATTTAATCAGTGTGACTTTCTTCCACTGGCTTTTTATGCCCCTAGCCTTTTAGAAAGCATGGACAACAATGCCCCTAGATTTTACCCATTTTGTTTTAGATTTTTTTTTACTTCGCTTAAATTCGGAAATGTGGTTTCATTTAACGAGGATTACTCAATTAGGATTGTACAGTGCATGCAACTTTCATGACGAAGTGTAACTTGGTAGTTTAGCATATGTTTGGTCACGTTATTTTGATCCTATGAGTAGATTTAACTTTGCGAAGGCCTTTTATTTCGAAAAAACCGCCCTCTAATTAAGTTTATTCAGGGTAATCTGCATTAATTTTGGCGACATTGGATTTCATCTAATATCGAAAGAATTTCCTATGCTATTAAGTACAACAGAACCAAACTTTTGATGAATATGCATTGTGCTGTGGAAGAACTCAAAAATAAGTAAAATAGTATAAAAGATATCCCTTTCAGAAGCGGAAAATTTTGTCCGAAAATTTTCAGATGCAAGTAAGGCCAAATGAGGCCAGGTTCAAAAAGAAGGAACGATTCATGTTTTAAAAATTATGTTTAGCTAATCTGTGAAATGTAAAATTTCTGTTTGAATAGCATAATGCTTGTGCGTTTATCTCTGCTCTTTATAAGCGTGTACCGTCGTTCGTACCCATTACACAGTTTTTATGAGCGCTGAACGTCACCTTTCTAACTACACACAGAAGTGTTTGATTTTCTTTAACAAGAAAACGTATAGTTTGTACTTTGGAAAGCGTAGATGATATTAAATCGACAGGTCCATTTCGAACATTATCTAAGAATTGAATTTTTATAGAGACTGGAAAATATCCCTGCTTCGAGTAGAAACTATAAAGAAGACATAAATTACTACATAACGGATATAATAATACATATTTTTGTCCATTCTTTCTATGAAGTGCCTTTAGACTTCTCAATTCATCCAACATAATTGACACTCATTCATGTTAAGTAGTCTATCTTGCGGAGCGTGGTTTTTGCAGATAGCCGGAAGGACGCGCATCCGAAAGCTAGCCGCTCGATGTTTTTGAAATATCTCATGATTATGTTGCAAACTATCCGGTATTACAGTCTCGAGATTATGCCGTACAATGACTCGTGCATCAACAGGCACGTTGAATTGGATTCAATGTACACCAATCTTACAAAAAGCCTGGAAAAAGGGCCAACCACCAAAACATGCTATTGACCACTAATGGCACAGCATTATCGATTTTTTGACACATTTAAAAATGTAGGCTGCTCTTCACACAATTCCCTCGCGTCCGAAGACGACCTGGTGTGCCAGTGTCGAAAATTTACAATAAAGTTTGTTCCTGTTTCCCGATGAATCTCTTCTATCAAACTTATGTAATCTTTCTAATCGAAGACCCATTTCAGGATGACTGTTGGCATTTTATCAGGTCGGTCACTGACTGCGTGCCCGTATTCCCACCCTAACAGTACTTTAAAGTCTAAATTCCACCGTAACCCTACCCTATCTCAAACCCTAACCTGAACAACATGTGTAATTTCCCTAGAATGATGTATACTGTATTGCTGGGTGGTACTTGTTGCATTTTTAACCATAGTCATTTTCTTCTAGTTGGTCTTAAACATTACAAAATGTGTCTGATGTCTATTCATCTGTTCTTGTCTCTCATTTTTTTTCCAAAAATGAGGAGTTTTAGGTATATCCGATGTGGGGATTGTCAACAGAACTGGTTCAGCACTAGAAGGCTGCTCAAACTCTTTCGCTGGCTGCATCTGAACCTGCCACCTGATGAATCCGTGTAAACAGTCTCTGGGAAGGAGCATTACTCGGGCTTTGAGAGAGTGTATTCATTCATTCAGATACGATGTAAAGCCTGCTTTCACGGGATCGAATAAGCCGCTAAACGTATACGCTTAAACATCTGTTCAAACA